CTTCCTCACTCTTGGCCTAAAAAAGAAAGTGGATTTGATGGCGGGAGACATTTGCTCCTCACACAGAGTCAGAATCCCTAAGCGGTCACTCTTGGGACGGGGAGCAGCAGGGTGTAGCTGTAGAAATAGGACAGAACAATGAGCGCCTGGGACAACGGAAAGAACGTATAAAGGCGGCATGTGCTGTGTACGAGTGTGTACGTGCATGCGTGTGTGCATGCGTGCATGCGTGTGCACTGATCGGGAGGCGTCATGGTAAGTGTGTCGCCTCCTGAGTAGGCGGTGTAAGGAGAGGGTGTCCTGATGAGCAGGGCCGTTCCTGACAACAGCCTCTGAAGCCTCGGAGAAATACCTGTTCATTCTCCACAGATCTCTCGCCATCATGAATTATCACTATCACCATCCTTCAGCACTGAAATCGAGTGATATGTTATAGTTCTCCAGCGGGGACTCTCCTTGGAGTTGCCCTCTGTATCTGAGATGTCAGAATAAGAAATCAGACGATTATTTACTGGGAATCTTCAAATGCATGAATTAAATCTAATAGTGGTGTTCTGAAAAATGTATCTAGGGAACCTTGGGTACACTTTTAATTTAACAACACCAACAAAACACTATGATAGCCTTTCTTAATAATCTCCAAAGTAGCTAAATAGATTTGTTTTCCCTCCTTTAATATTTTCATGTAAATCAATCTCTCTTGTCTTCTCCATTCCCATTCATTGTTTTCATTTGTCATCTGTGAAAATTTCCTATTTGTCCTTTTGCCCTAGCAAATAGATCAGACACTGTCCCCGGCTGTGTCTACACAGCCAAAGGGATGTGAGGCCGAGGAGTTATTCAGTGAATTGACTCAGGCTCGACAGAAGACATGCTGGGGGAGGACCCTTCCACTCTGGGTCCTCGGCCGGGCAACCGAGTCACGAGGAGTGCTGTGGGAGGGAATAATTTTGTTGCTGACCTCAAAGACCAAGGATGTAACCTCAAACATTCCATGTTCTTTAAATAATTCATTAGAAATCTGTCATCTACGACTTTGTTTAAATCGTTTTGTAGCTATTTTTACTTTCAGTGAATAGCAGCTTCTTGTATAAGAGTTCACTGACTTTACAATCTGCCACTTGGATTCTGTCACCTGGGCGAGCTACGGTGACTGGCTTAACCTACCACCCAGATCCACACATAGACGCTTCAACCTTCCTCGCTTCTCCTTGGCCATTTTCGGCAGAACCAGAGTCACCCAAAACAGCTGTAACCCCCTTGATTTGTGTGACTTGTACACAGGGTTCCCAATCCTCTGCCTTTCTTTGCTGTTTGGTCTTGACAACTTTTACCTACAGGATAATTTTAGGACTATGCTTTATTTGCAGAATCCAGATTAATAAAAATTTAGATAGTTTCGAGAGGTTTCGTGTGTGAGCGCGTGTGCTTTGTGTATTTTGTTTTCCTTTTAGGATTATATTAAATTATTTAGATGGTCCAGAAAATAATGTGTAGTGAGGAATTATCCCACCAAATACACAGACGCCTTGGAACTTCTTCCACCTGCTAACAATTCTAGGGGCGAGTGCACGGAGCTCTGATGCCCAAAGCCTCGGCAAACAAGAGCTCTTCGCGATCTGGTCCTCACCCTCCTTATCAGCCTCTCTTCCGTCTCTGTAAACTGCACTCTTAAGTTGCACTGAGCTATTTATTTGCCATTCCTGGAAAAACCAAGCTACTTACACCTCCGCGCCTTGATACACGCTATTCCCTTAGCTGAGAATTATCTTTGTTACCAGTTAGATAGAACAGTTCAAAATCTAAGTTCTCCAAGGAGCCTGTTCCAGCTCCTTAGCTGTCACAGAAGTCACCCTATGCAATCTCACAGACCTTTGCTCACACATTTATTTTAACAGCTCTTAGGATTCGTTGAAATTTTCTGTTATGCGTCCATCTCTCTGTCTAGACGATTAGTTCTTCCAGAGCAGATACCACATCTTTCTTCCTATAATTAGTAATTTAGCTTATCCTGGGCCATGATAAGCAATGGAGTGAATATTTGTTGGAGATGTGAATGAGGGAGAGAATAAACGATGGAGCATAGAGGCAAGACGATTTCTATAAATGAAGCAGCATGCACTCATGCGCGCGCACACACGCACGCACGCACACACAAACACACACACACACACACACACACAAGTCCAGGTAAACTGCAGCTCGAGGGAGAAGCTGGATAAAGTTGTAGGTGTGATTCTTCTGCCACACAGAATCATCCACTTTTTGTATTACTGTCCTCGACCGACTTTGTCCCTCGTCTGAAAGGCACGAATGCTTACTGCTACTTTTCCCCTGGTACGTTAACCTAGATTTTTTTCACAAGGGAATCCATTTGAACTCCTACTGGCCTAGGACTTGGTTGTTCTGCTTTAAAAGTTCAGCTATTTTAATGTATACAATACGAGAATACTAACTGAAAAACCTAAATACCCACGCGCACTGCTTCCCTCCCCCTTCTGGAACATTAGACGAAATATTCACGAAGACGAGGCCTGCCACTGATTTTTTTTTCATAAACCCCAATATGTATCGTTAGCTGGCAATCTGTCAGGCTGTTATCAATTCAAGTGACAGTCTTCACATTCAAATCAATTTCGATTAATTTTGTAAGAATCATTTAAGGAAGCATGGCATCGGATCCCTGATTTCAATCAAGATGTATGACATCTTCCACTTTTCATTTATCTTGTCACTTTATGAGGAAAATGCCGTCATTTGTCTGGCACTTTTTTTTTATGTACGTATAAACTCATGCCGCTTATCGCTCCTGGTCCCATTATCCTCCAGATAGTTACGTCTCCCCCACTGCTAGCAGTCGCTCCATTATTTTATTAGTGTCCAAAATGAGACCTCGTAGACAGTGATGATCAGAGAATAATGGAAATTAGAGATGGAAATGACAGATTAGGTCTCCTTGTCTGTTTCCTGGGGCTAATGTTCCTGTCAGTCTGTAACGCAGAGCTTCAGCCTGTCTTATTTGAAACGACACCGATGCGGGGCCTCCACCGGGCCCCTGCGGGCTCTCGTCTCCATCCTCAGACTGTCTCTACACACAGCCAGAGGGAACGACGAAGCCTCGTGTAATTACCAAGCGAAGTCAGGCCCATCCTCGCAGAAGCTGTCTACCAGGCCAAGGGACGTGGAGGCCTGGGGGATTAGCTACCAAATCCAATCAGCGCGGGGAGCGCGCCTGGCTCACTCAGGGCAGAGAGGGAGGTGACGTTTGTCGTCATTTTCTCCAGCAGCGCGGTTGCAGGCTAAGCGATAGGGAGCTGGTTATCCATCACCCTTTACAATATTTTACTCAGTGAGAATCATAGCCCACGGAGAGGCTCAGCCATCACATGAGCAAAAATCCTAGCTCCCCAGAAACGATGCAAACATTCTGGGGTGCAGGAGAGAGCCTGGGGACGCAGTTGAGTTTGAACAGCAAATGGCGCTTTTTCTTTATTCATTCCCCACTTGACATCTGTTAGCCAAATCTCCCGCCCTCCGCCCCAAGCCTTCCATGGCAGGCCGCCTCGTGTGGATCTACCCTTCTACAAACATCTTCCTCTAAACCTTGCGGACTGCCTCTCTGATACGATCTCAGATTCAGTAGAAATGAAGCGATCCTTCATTTCCACTAACAGACGACTTTCACGGCATTTCGACGTCCCCAAGTCTCCTGACCTGTGACTCAGATTTCCTTTCCCTAACTGCCTTCTCCCTTGTCCTTATCCCTCAACCCCGACCCGTTCCAGAACATTTGCCCCCTTTACCGCCTACGGGCATCTATCATGCCTTGACTTAGTCATCAGCTGGCCAAGTTCTCAGAGCCGAGTTCTATCCCTTCATCATAAATCACTCCCTTGGGTCCTTCAATCATTTTTATTGCTCTTCTCCAAACTCTCGCCCATTTGTCTCCATGTTTATTACTCTGAGAGTCTGGAGCCGCATTCGCTATTCTCGGCTTGGTCTCATCAGAAGCGTACAGAGGGGCTGGGTCCTCCACGGCTATGTGTGAAATGATGGCAGCTTCTTTTTCCCACCCTGTCAGGCCACAAACACGTTTCTCATCTGCACTCCAGGCGATCACTCCGAGACGGCTTTTGCCTTGATGTCTCTCCAGTTTTGCCTATTCCATTGATTGCTCTTATTAGTTAACATTTAATGAACTCTTTCTCCCCCCACCTTTGTCCACGACCCGGCCAACACAGGAAGCAAGCTCTCAGCACCCAAAACAAAGCAGAAAGTTCCTTTTAAAAAGCACTACAGGATGGACAGTTACACAACAATGTGAATGTACTTAATGCCACCGAACTGTACATTTAAAAATGATTAAAGGGATAAACTTGATGTTATATATATTGCATCACAATAAAAATTCCTAAACTGTAAAAAGGTAAAACTAAAAAGCAATAGATATCGTAACTTCCTAGCGTTTGGAGAAGAGCAAAGGTCTCAGAGAAATAGTAACTGGGGCTCAGGCAAAAGTACTCGTACCCAACACAGAGCAGCCCCTGAGTCTTTGCATGTGACCCCCGCTGACAGTCCTGGTGGAAACAAGTTTCTAGGCATGTCAATCTCGCAAAGCTCGTCAAGCCCTGGGAGAGCTACACGCGAGCCGGTGTGGCCCCGCGTGTCCCCGACAAAATCAGCGGCCAGGTTCTGCCAGCGGAATCCTCGTCGCTGACAGAGGTATGAGAAGCACAGCTTGGTTTTCAGGTCCCAGCTGGAGGCTGCGGGGCTGCGAGTCAGAGGCGTCATCTCTGGACTCGTAAATGGAGAAAAAGACAACACGGACGTCACTGGGACGGTACGCACGTGGAAACACACTGTGACATCTTTACCCATTCGCTGTTCAGAATATAAACGCCCGTTCGCGCTACTTCTCTCTATGTGGTTGTTCCACATCGTGCCTATGTGACGAAGCGGTGACATCTGGGAACTGGCCAACGTGCCATCCCCTCACTTACCCCTGGTTCGTTCCCCATTCATTCCGAATGCAAAGGTGCTTGTGTACCGGATCCTTCATGTAACCTTCGTAGCAGAGGCATTCCCCTTGGAGGCAAGGTGAGGAGGAAGGAAAAGAAACATGAGGACTTGATTAACACGTCTGTGTTTGGGAAAATGAATATGAAGCAATCAGATTAAACTCAGACGCTAATAGGGCATGGATGAGACAATAAGTCCCATTATCGTCGTACACTCTCGTCTCCACCGCCCACATGAATGCACACGCCACCGATCTCTCCGCTTCCCACTACGTGATCGTTTTCACTAGCAGGAGAATCTAACATTTACAAAGCACCTATTATATGTGCTCTGTAAGCACAAAGACCAAGAAATCTTTGAGCAAAGAGAGTTTTTCATCTTTATTTCCTCGGTGCGTGGTATACTGCAAGGCATATATTAGGTGATCGATAAATGTTTAAAGACCACGTAAGTGAGTTATTTCATCGAATATTTCTAAGCACCTTGAAAAGCAGGCATCATTAGCTGTGCTATGCTGATGGGAGAAACTGAGGCTCAGATAAAGTAAGGGAACTAGAGACAGCTTGCAAATGGCAGTGTTAATACTTGAATCAGTGTCTTTCTGACTCCAGGCCTTGTTTTACCCACCATGCCATGCGGCTAGCCCAGAAAATAACTACTATAGAGGAGGCCACTAATACTAATTATGGTTTTGGAAGAACTCTGGATTTCGGTTTCTAAGTCATCATGGCTAATCGTCTTGGAGCTGGAAAACAGAAAAATCATCCACAATTCTATATTTGTTTAGAATATTATTATGCTTCATAATCATTAGTTACTCCATTAGTTTACCAAGAGATCCACAATCCCTCTGGAATCCTACGCAAAACTGTATATGTGTGTGTGTGAACATCTTTCCATAGCAGGTTTGCATAACATTTGTCTGATTTACGAGTAAATCCAAGACCCTCGTAAGATTGAGAATCATTGCTTTACTTGGTACTGATCTTGAAGAAAATTGTTGCTGCTTCCTTTATTAATAATTCATCTTACGACGCTATGTGTCCCCATGCCACTGAGTCCAGTTCCACTAAAGCACGAATGGTAACACTTTCACTGGCTGATCATTTAATTTGTAGGGTGTGACTGCCTAAAATTCGTCAATAACAAAGGTGCCATGCATTAAGGAGACAAGGGGCATACAGTTTCTTTATCTCCTTAGCAAGAGACACTTAGAAAGGATATAAATAGAAGAATAGCTTTGAATGCTATTTTCTCCTCCCAAAGACAAAAAAACAATACAAATGAAGTGAAGGGGCCCCACGGTTATGAGGGACTAGATTGCGTAGGCTCTGGGCAAGGCGTCTTTTATAGGATCCCAGCTCATCTATTCATTTCAAGACTGACCTGTAAGCTGCTGTCTATCAGGGCTCACACAAGGTAACACTCATTTCCTTTCCCCACACCTGCTCAAGGTACTGAGGCGTGAAGTGAAAATGAGTAACTTCTTATTTATGGGGGATCCAGAGAGTATCAGAAGACCGGTGCTTTGTCTCCTGTATGGCAAATTCAGGCTTCCACATGGGCTAGATTCACAATGGGCTCGAATTAACTGTGTCAGTGGCGCTGAGCTGAATCTAGGGATGAGCTGCGTCAAACATAGAAAAACACAGCTCGAAATTAGGCAGTTGATAATAATGCTTTCAGCTGAAGGCCGTTTCTACTAATTCTAAAAAAAAAAAAGAAAAACATGGACTCCAGACTATAAGCAATGCAAGGTGAGAACAAGGTTAGTTCTTCTCCCCACATGAGTAGGCCTTTTATAAATACTGTGCAATGGAAAATAACTGAATTAATTAGTTTGCCCTAAATTTACAGATAATGCTACCAGCACCTCGCCCCAAGATGCAGATATCTAAGCCAGTTAGTGGGTCCAGGACCCAGCCATGCTTCTCCCGGAAGGAGGTCATTTCCCAGTTGTCCTGGGGATATCAGGCAAGAGACAGTAAACAGGAAGTAACTTCAAGAGGTGGTCAAACCATTACTCTCATAGAATGGCCTTGGCTGGATGCCTCGCCTAGAAGGGTTGACAAAAAAGTCCTTCCTCCGCATTTGATATCTAGTTACCACAAAACATGTAAAAATGAGTGCAGGAACAACGCAGAGTTCAAGCAGAGCCTGATTTTCCTAATAATGCCAATACCTACCATTTGTAGCTCACATTTACCTTTCTCAAATTACCTTCGGAGTCATTATCTCCTTACGAGATTTCCATCATTCATTACTTTGTGGGGACGCACCGCTGACAATAGATAAAGCTTTTCTCCATATGCTGTCGTCTGCAGCTCAAAGTTGGAGCAACAGAAAAATTTTCAAACATATCAGGCTAGAGTTTAAGGATATCCAAAATTTGCCTATCAAATGATCCTCATTTCCGGAACCCACCAAACTTTCCTATTCTGTATTCTTCCTCAAAACCAGTTTGGCCAGCTACATTGAAAGGAGTTCAGACTTGATGAGGCAAGTTGCTATGGCAACCCACTGCTAAATCTTGACTTTAAGAGGGGTTTCGTGCAAGCACAAGCTCCGACTGTTAGCTGTGAATTTTAAAGACCCCACAAGGGTGTTGGATGCCCTCCTAAGCTAGAAGTGTTACAGTCTCTGCATCTGCTGTGACAGATGGCGGGGAACGCATGATGTGCTGACTCGGTGGCAGTGTTCACAGCGTCCGATGGAAAGATGTGTCACGGCCACGGGAAAGTGCCCAACCTGGGTGGACAATGCCCTGCAGAAGGTACTCGCAGGCAACCACACTGCCAGACCGGAAGCCCCCTGAGAGGTGACCCATGTGTGGCCTGAAGATGGCCACACTGATTTGTGCTTGGTGCCCTGAAGGCAAACGTCTTGAGAAACCTCTTATGATGGACAGCGGCTTTGGTCATTTCCCATCCTACAGACAAAAGACTGAGGCACAAGTCGCATGGAATGATGAAAGAAAGACCTTGGAGCTACGGCTCCTCAGACATGACCGGGCTCAGTACAAGTTTTCTGTGAGGTAAGTACAGATCAAGGCCGAAGGCCCTGAGTCACCTCTATCCTTCAGGTGGCTGTTGGCTTTCATTAAATGCAATTGGGTGCACTTCATCTTAAAAGGGAAATCTTTGCAAGACATCTGGACTTGAGTAATATCTAATTGCCTTGTCTACTGCCCCGTGGAGACATCAGGCCAAAGGCAGGCCCAGAGTGGAACAGCCTCGTGTGACTCTGGAAGAGCAGACGGAGGAAAATATTACGAAAGACCATCACCCTGAAGGAAGGTGCTTTAATCAAGCCACGAAACAGAGTTTGGGATGAGTGGACAATCCAGGTGGCAGGGACAAAATGGGAGCTGTGCTGCCCTGCCACATGGTGTCCAAAAAAACCAGGGAAAGCTAGAGAGAGGCAGTGGTTCAGAGTGAGGAAGGAGGGGGACGGCTAGACTGAGTCTGGAAAACTGGTCCGGTATCCCTCACCAGGGTTTAACATCTCTGCATGGTTGGGACCAGCCTGTGGGAAGATCCAGGGCAAAAGGAATTTCGGCAAACATTTTGGGTGGTGATTAGAACTCAATTTAGCTGGAAGCCCCTGCTCCTTGCAGACCCGTAAAGCCTACATATCTTGAAAATGGAATGAAGGTCGGTGGCCAAGATGGATGGGGGCTGTGAAATTAAGCAGGTGTGTGAAGCTTCTACAGCTGCCCACATGGCAGAACAAAGGCCAGGAATAGAGTGGAAAGAGAAGTTGCCAAAGCCAGTTAGTCTGTGCTGCCATCAAAAAAACAACCAACAGATGTATGACCACAATGAAACTCTCAGAAAGTACAGGAAAAGTTGAGCCCTGGCTGGATCCAGCCAGGCACTAAGCTTTACAACAACCTCAGTGGTTTGCGGTTAGTCCGGCTTGACCAGAGACACCCTCCTAAGGCCCCAAACCTGGGAGGGTCTGGGAGAGAATGTCAGTGTGCATTTGGTGAAGGGCTTCTAGGCAGAGAGCTAAGACCTGTAGGTACATTATGTCCCGCCCAGTAGCATGTGCTAGAATGTAAAAGAGAGGCTGGAATGGAAAACAGATCAGCAAGTTACCTTCAGCCCAGGTTTTTCCATAGCCTCCTGACACATCTTCAGAAAGTCTATGTAACCACCCTCTATTAATTGGGCTGGAGCCATATAAAGGGTCACTTAACAATGCTTGTCCTTTATCCTTTCTTCCTTCCCTAGTATATTACTTTTCTATAGGTGCCATAAAAATACCACAAACGTAGTGGTTGAACGCAACATAAATTTATTATCTTATACTCTTTAAGTCAGAAATCTGACAAGAGTCAAGCTGGCTAAGATCAAGGTGTCTATTTTCCTTTCTGGAGGTTTGAGGAGAGCTTCTGCGTCTTTACCTGTCCCACCTTTAGAGACTGCCCACAACCCTTGGTCTGCACCCCCTCCCTCCATCTTCAAAGCCAGCCATAGTAGAGGAGTCCTTCTCATATCGTCCAACCTCCTCCTCTTCCACCCTCTTCCCCTTTCAAGGACCCTTGTGATTACATTAGCCCATCTGGTTAATCCAGGACACTCTTGTTATCTTAAAGCCAGTTCTTTAGCAAACTTAATCCATCTGCAACTTTAATTCATCTTTTCTATGTAATGGGACACATTCATGGGTTCTGCAAATTAGGACAATGACATCTGTGGGAGCCCATTATTCTGCCTACCACACCTGGTATTCTGGACCACTGTACAGCTGATGAGTAAACACACGCTTCACTTTGGAATACTCTGGAAGGGTGCCTGAGCCAAACTCCAGGCACCAGAAGTTGCTCCTTTGCAGTGACCGAGTGCTTGTTTGTGTATTTGTTTGTGTGTATGTGAAAAAGTATACACGTGTACTTGCACAGTTCCACACATCCATATGGGCAGACCCCTCAGCATGGCTGGGAAAGCACATGTCCCAACACCATGACATTTCCAAGTGAGTTAGCTGGAGGATTGCAAAAATAACGTCAACTTGACTTGCAGCCAATTCCCACACTCAACTCTTTGGAGAAAGACTCTAGCATGGAGTGTGGGAGGCGATAAAGTGTCTTACTGATGAGCGTGTGGGATGATGACCACATCATCCCATGTGCAGAAAGAAGCAGGGCAGGAAGGGGGTGGGTTTCCAATTCCAGCATTAACGAAAACAAAAGTCTCTGCAGCACGTTTCTCATCTGCTACCCCGAAATGAAGCTGTTGCACCTCGGTTCTGCTGTGGGGTTTGAGGTCTTATTTCGACTCTCCCCTCCATGGCTTTCCAGTTGGAAATCCATTAATCGTCATAGATACTGGGAAGCCACTAGCAAGGGAGGGGTTTGCCAAGGTCATTATCAGCAAGGATTGAGAATGACACATCTGGGAGGGACTGAGGACATGACGGAAGCTTCGCTGCAGACAAATTATCAGCAAGGATTGAGAATGACACATCTGGGAGAGACTGAGGACATGACGGAAGCTTTGCTGCTCAGTAATGGTGGTTGCTTAAAGAGTTTTGAATGACAAATCCGTTGGATCTGACATGTCTGGGGACATTAAACGATCCTTTATAATCCCACCTCTGCTCTGATCTCACGATGGAGAGAACACAGACTGCCCAGGGTAGCCGAGGGGTTTTGGCCAAGTCTAGGGGAACTGTAGCACTGATGTAAAGTAAGAAGGCAGGTTATTCCCAAGACCCCTCCTCCAAGCTGAAAACACCAGTCCCTTCTTTCCATATGTAATTAAACGGGCTTCCTGTTCCTCAAAACCGCGGAAGGAGCTTTCAAGGCCCTCTGGGGAGCACCGTTTTCTGGGAAGCGAGTTTAACAACTGAGATCGTCCCCGAGTCTCATAATTCAAGTCAGCGGGGGACCAGAGACTAGCTCAGTTGCATGGAGAGGGCCCACCTCTGAGATGAGCTCTTTTTTTCTTTCTGCCGAGAACACTGGATTTCGGGCCCATCTGTTTGGTTTGGTGTTTGCTTGACAGCGTGGGAGCAGCAGCAAGTAAGCGCATCAGATGTTTAAAATGCTGTACTTTCTCCTCCATATGGGGACCTAGAATCTCTGCGATGGGCCCACGTAAAAAACTTTGAGACCTAAGAAGGTGAACTTTTGATGATGCGGTGACCTGTTACTCCCCCAAAGAGATACAGTAATGGACTATTACAGAAGTAACGGCCAGGTCTCTTGGATTCAATCTCTACTAATATCCCTGTACCTCAGCACCTAAAAAGATCCATGTGTAGGGGTGTGTGTGTGTGTGTTGAGGGGCTGTGCGTGAGGTACAGAGAGCTGGAGGAATTGGCCCCTGGCTCCAGCAACATTTCACTTCATTGTCACTAACATCTCCCTCCTTTTGTGCTACAGCACCATGCTACCTCTCTGAGAAGGAGCTATCCGTGGTACTGAATCTACTGAAAAAGAGATCTTTCTAAAGACTATCGGAGATAAACCTCCTCTACAATGAAAGTGTAAAGCAACCTGGAATGAGGGGTCTGTATCCCTGGGAACACTGGAGCTGAAGGAGCACTGAGAGTACCCCAGTGCATGCTGTGTCTGAGATTGGACCTTCTCTCAGAGAAGTCCTAGCCCCATTTGATAACACGACAGCCTGAAAGATATCTATACCATTTGGCCCAGTAATCTCTCTTCTAAGATTTATCTGAAGAAAGTAGCTTCAAATGTGCCCTGCGTTTATGTGGAAACGTATTCATTTTAGTAGTATTTGTAAAAATTAAAAATTTCAAGCATCCTAAATGTCAAATAACGCGAATTATTTAAATGAGCTAGAACATACACATACAATGGAATACAAATGGCCATTAAAATTATGTTATTGAAGATTATTTAATAGTTCTGGAAAACTCTCATGATAGAATAAGTAAAAAAAAAAAAAATCAAGAAAACTCTACTTGCAAGCCTGAAAAAATCATGCATAGATAAAAGATCAGAAGGGAAGACACTAAAATTTCTAAATGATTTCTGCAAAAGACAGAATTCTAGATGATTATTTTCTTCAATAAGCTTTTCTAGATTTTCTAAATTTTCTACGAGAAACATGCATAAAAAGTCTAGCCCCGGTAGCGGATATGCCCTGACTGGATGGCAAATGGGGTGCAGAGTTCGTCTAAACTAACCCATCTGTGGCGGGGCTACTGCTTTCAAGGCTTCTGCCAGAAGATGACCCCACATTTTGCACCGACAATGCTCGGGGGTCCCCCCATGCTGGCAGCTTGCATGGTCTAGGTTCCCCATCACAATGTGACAATCGGGAGGGATGGCTCGGGGGATTTCGAGGGGGATTGCAAGAGGCATGAACTCTGACAGTTACCCGCTGCCCGGTGCTCCCGCCTACCAGTTTCGGGGTCGCATTGGTGTTCACAGGGGTCCAGGAGCCGCCGGGCACAGAGGTCCATGGCCCAGGGCCCGCTGGAGTTCTGCTGGGAGAAGAGCATCACCTGGGCGGGGTTCAGCCAGTCACTGGCATCCAGCTGGCTCCCCTCCAGCAAGATGAAGCGGCTCCCTGCAGGGGGAGAGAGAGGAGATGTGCCTGTGTACACACGCGTGCATGCACACCTGCATGTGAGCACACACACAATTCACTGAAGATGAGGGAAGAGATGCTCTACAGGTTAGTCCCAACCCAAGGTCATTTCTCCTACCAGTCTTAGCCCATCATGAGCCCCCAGGAAAGGTATCAGCAGATGGAGGCTTGGCCACCCCTTAGACCTCCGCCAAACCATCTCCCGCTGCCTTGCCCCATCTCATCTCTACCAGGTGGACCTAAGGGACACAGGGACAGAGCAGCTCTGTGATGGCCATGGCACAGCTCCATGCAACCCAGCCATAGGCACTGGCACTTATCCAAGGACAAGGACCTGCTGCCTTTCTTTGCTTGCCATGAAATAGCAGGCCCCCTAATGCTGTGGACAGTGTCCACCTGTTTTCAGCTTTACAGCAACCAAGGGAAGACACTAACATGTCAGCGAGGTGCTTTGGGCTTAACTGGTTCAGGGGCTCTCAGGGCCTACATTAGTCCTTCATTACATCAGGGGCCCCCAGGATGAGAGTAAATTCTTGCTATGGAGTTCTAGGTTTACAGCAAGTTAGTGTAATTAGCATTTTCTGACCTGGGCATACCAAACTGAAGCATGGCTGACCCTTAAACACCTCTGCTACTCTCTTAGCTTTTCCCCTCTCGAAGGCTACGAGAACCTTGGTGTCTGCCTCCCTATATCCAGCATGCTCTGCATTTCTCTACAAAGACAGGGGCTTATTGAAAAACAAACAAATGGGAAATGAGAGCTGGCCAAGGGAAGAGGAGGTAATCTGTTCAGTATTTTTTTTTTTTAAACTGTTTTCTGATTTCATCTGTGGACAATCCAATTTTATCCCAAGCCTTACTGGCTTTCTTTTTCCCTCACTTATCGTAATGGGTAACTGGGGTAACCGTGGCCCCTGGCCTTCTCTCTATCTTCCTCGCCCAACCCGAGACCTTTCTCTTTGGGGAGGAAGTCACATCTCAGAAGTGTGCTCACCATCAGCGATCAGGTGCTCGGGGACGTGCAGGGTGATTTTGACAACGAGAGGGCAGCTGACGTGAGAGGAGTACACAAGGCCGATCACACAGCTGGTGAGGCTGATCAGTGTCAAGGTGGTCTTATTCACGGGACTTCGCGGCGAGCCCACTGGGAAAAAAGACAAAGCAAGTCGTGGCCGTGAGAGCCCAGCTTGCAGTGTCAAGGTGGTCTTATTCACGGGACTTCGCGGGGAGCCCACTGGGAAAAAAGACAAAGCAAGACACACGGTGCTAAAAGTCGTGGCCGTGAGAGCCCAGCTTCGCCTTTTGCTGCCCAACCAGCAAACAGGGGAGACACTTGGCAAACCTCGTCCAGATGGGAAACGTGTGCCACTGCATGACCTCGGTGACCTCCATCCTCATAGAACTCCACATCATTGGTTGGAGTCAGAGGGGACTTGACTAACAGATGGCCCTTGGGGTCATCAACGGTGAGTGGTGTGCAAGCCCTCTGCAGTCTCCATGGGCCAGGCCCACCAGGAAAATCAAGAAAGAGGAAGTCCCCCTTCAACTCGCCTGGCTGTACTGCAGCCTCTTGAGGTTGGGTGGCAGGAATGTTTGGGCCCCATGTTGGAAGCCCCTAAACTCCCCATCGCTTTTCACAGAGGGCACGCCCACAAACCAGCTCCTCCACTCCCGGGCTCACACCACATCTCCCCGAGGACATCCTGGGCTCAACGAGCCTGCCCCACTCTATGCTGAGAACCCCACAAGTGGCCCCCACTCTGTAGGACATGGGAGGAGGAACAAGAGAGGAGTCTGCTCGGTATGAGGAGAGGGTGTTTTTGTACCAGAAGGCTCTCCCCAGTCCCACGGTGATCGGGTGAGGTCATAAATGAAAGCTCAGTGAGAAAATCGGGCCGGGGAGTAAGAAACCCCCCCAGGGGGGTAGGGACAGGGATAGGAAGCGAGCGTTGTCTGGTGTGTTTTCGTTGGTTTGTTTTTTGGTTTTAGGGGAGAGGATTTCACATAAATGCAGAACAGATATGGGAAAGTAAGAAAGCAAGCTACGTTGCCAACAAAATGTGGGTCCTTTGGAATTTTCTTATGGTCTTACGTTAATATTTATTATCGATAAAAATAAAAGGCACTTATTATGTCAGACCACATGCTAAGCATTTTTACAAACATTTTTAGATTTTTTAAATATTTGCTTTCTTACCATAAATCTATGAGGCTGCATAGTCACCACCCACTTTACAGGTAAGGAAAGGGGGTTGAAAGAGATGAGCCTCGTAGCAGGAACTAACGAGTATGAAGTATGATTACGTGTCAGGCGCCAGCACCCAGGGTTTTATGGCCTGTGTCATCTGAGGCAGCTCTCGCCGGGGGGACAGTGAGGTACAGAGGCCACCGGGCGGGTCTGGGGTCAGGCTGCTGCTAAGGAGCTGGGATCTAGACATGAGTCCGGTTGAGACCAGGGTCCTGAGACCGCCCCATCTTTGGGCCCAGGGGAGCCTTGGGAAGTGCTGTTCGCAGGAACACAGGGAAGGTTTTGGGGCAGTGGCTGCCTGCGCATCTGTCGTGGGGGCGGGATCCGTGGCGGGGTGCATGGGCGGTGGCTCGGAGGGGGACTCTGGCACGGCAGGCAGCCTCCAGGTCCTTGGCCCCTTGCTCCCTGGAGAAGGGCTGCC